TGAAAGGGAAGGTATTAACACTCTTTTCATCCATGGTTTTCCATGGGCTCTTAGTTACTTGCTAGATCACTTGCTTTTGTTTGAAAATGTGCTTTGTGTGGTTTTTTGAAAGTATTTTATAAAGATGCCATCATTTAGGCAAACTTTGTAATGATCCTCGTTCGTAAGAAATGTATACAAAGTGTTGATCTTTTGAAAATGTTTTCAAGTTTGTAAGATGTTTGAAAGTGAAGGTGTTTGTTTTTGAAAATAACAAGGATGTTTTTGTTTTGAAATTGAGCAAGTAACTAGGAACGTTCTACCTACTCAAAAGTCTTTCATGTTCATTTCCTTTTTCCTTTGACATTGTTATCTTACCATTGATTTAGTAAGTAACCCTATCTTTGGATGTAAAAGGGACGGGCGTGGGTCATCGTATAACCATGATAGCAATGTTGTGAGATGACTTAGCATTTTTCTTTAAGGACTAAGATCATTTTGAAAGGCAACTTTGATAGCGTCATCGAGGGACTATGATCTTGTATTTTTTGATTTGTTTGTGCTAAGACATCCCACATGCATAACATGGTCATTTTTGTAAGGCAACAAGTGGAATTACCCTAAGGGTGTAAGTGTGCAAGTGTGTTTGATTGCATGTATTTTAGTTTTGATTAGGGTGATCTATTTATTGATTTCATATCTTGCCATACACACCCTAGTTACTAGCAATATATGAAAGAAATAAAAAGTACAGAAAGTAAATATCCTACGCTATTACAATCATTAGGGGATGGGGTGTACAGATTTACGAATGGGGAGCTTACAAGAAAATAAATCCTAATTACTTATTACAACCATATTGAAATAATAATGCAAGAAAGAAAAAGGACTTTGTTTGGAAAAATGTTTTTTTTGTCTTAATGAATTAAAAAAAAGATGAATTATTTAGTAAAAGAAAATATTTTTATGTCTTTTTTATATTAATAAAAAAAAGGGAATTGATACTGAAAATGATAAAAAGGAAATAAATGAAAGATAGAAACAGCGTGCTGCTGCAAGCAAAAGGATCAGAAGTTCTGAAGGCAAGCGCGTAGTGACTCAGAAAGGATCGTCTGTGGAATCAGAAGTTCTGGATTGATACGCTCTAAGGCCCTACAAGAAACATTAGAGGGAAAACACAGGGGTTCTGGGTGGTATTCAGACAGTGAGCCAAAAGTCAGAAGTTCTGTGTTACGCTAAAACAGTGAGTAAACATCAGAAATTCAGTGTATTGTCAGCATGTGAATATCAGAAACTCTGAATGTTTAAAACAGCGAGTGGAAGTATCAAAAGTTCAGTTTGTTTCACAGTGAGAAAGCCTAGAAGTTCTGTGGGTTAAAATGATGAGTGAAAAACAAAAGTTTGTTGTTATATTTCAACTCCTTTCTCATATTAATCAGCACAACAATAACTTATTCATTTTTTAACAAACAGCACATCAGAAGAATACAAGCACAACAGTTTATAGAAGTTCTGATCCTAATCATGAGCCTAGCCTTAATCAAGAAGTTCTGATCCACAGTTTTTCTACTTATGCAATGATATGGATAACATCAATACTATGATATTTACATTTTTAATGATGTTCTAAATGAAAAGATGTAAAGTCAGAAAGACTTATCTTGAATCTGGAGCGTATGTTTTGAACTTGAGCTGCTGCCTTCAGATGTTCTGGAGTCAACAAGAACAATGGAAGAGAAAATGATAAGTTCTTTTGATTCAAAGGGAAGAACAAAGGTTGAGTTTTCTGTTTGGGATCTCTGGATTTTCACGAAGGTTTCACAACTTTCTTTTCTCTCCTTTTGAAAATTCTCTCTCTCCAAAAAAACCAACCTCCCTGAAAGTGTGATGGAGCAACTTATTTATAGGTGAATTTATTGTGATTTTAGGGGGGAAAACAAATGGGATTTGAACACCTTTTGGCATCCTGTTTCATTGCTTTTTGATCACAATCTTCGTATGCTAGTTTGGTGCAATTATGGGATGCAGGCGTAGGCTGAATTAGCTGTTGGTTATAGGTCTGTGCTCTAGCAGTGCAACAGGTTGTATAAATAAGGTTTTGGGATTTCGTCATGTTCTGACCGAAGCGTTGAATATAGCCTTCATGCTAAGGTGTTGCCTTGTTCTTGAAGCAAGCATGGTGGTTAACAGCTTTTAGCCATGCCTAAGTTGGGTTTGTAAGCGTGATTTAAGGAAAGGTAACTTCAAAAGCAAAAACAACACATGGGCCCAACACACTCTTGTACAAGAGTTTGTTTTTCAAAGACAGTAATGGTACACGTGGGGGAAGTCCTCTGGATAAAGACTCAAAAGTGGTTGTGAGCATTAAATGATGATGAGACTTATCAAAACCAGAAATTCTGCAACGTGAGATTCTACACCATTACTTAGTTCTGGATCAGAAGTTCAGCTTCAGCGTGACTTAGAATAGACATCCAACTTCCGATCTTTGTATCTCCATGTTCCAGCATGTTCTGGAGGAGCTCTCAGACTTTCCAGGAAGCTTGCAGCATGCTTTGTAACCTTCTTTGAATTACCCTTGAAAACTCTGACTGAACCTTTGTGAAAACTGGCCCAAAAGTTGTAACCAAACTCTGTCTTGGAACTGTCCAGAATTTGCTGAGTGCTTCAGTTTCATGGACGTGTCTTTGAGGAGTCATAACTTGAAATCCCAGTATTTCTAGGAGAAGTTTTATTCTGCAATGTTTCAGATCTTGTTTGAGTCCATAACTCTTGTGTTAGAATTTAATCCAGAATCATCTTGCATCATGGTGATAATCTGATCAGAAGTTCTGAGCTTGTCATATTTCTTAAACACTTAGAAAAATTCTGAATATTTAGAAATTTGACTTTTCTAAAGTAGCTTTTGACTTTTGAATTTCTAGGTGAAACAAACTTCATATTTTAACATGTCTTGATGAAATATGAATATTGAAACCTGATTTTGATCCAAAATTCAAAGTTTGACTTTTCAGTGTGCAAATGACCATTTTACCCTTGTGGATGATTTTCTTGAAAAAAATTGTAATTCAAGGCTTGGAATTGGATGGGAACAAATCTGAGGGTCCAGGGTGATCCTTTGAGAAATGAGAGGGCAAATTTTAGGATACAACAACTGTTTCTGAATCTACTTTGGTGAGATCTTTCTGATTTTTCACTCTTTCTTCTCCTTCGTGGCCTTCGGTTTCTTGTGATTGCTTTTCTTCTTCTTCTTTCTCTGTATTTTGAAGGGTTTGTGTAGTGAAAATGATGAACGATTTAGGGTTTGTTCTTGTGAAACTGTGATACAAAATCTTTATTTTCTTTCCTCTTCTCTCACGATTTTTGAAAGGTTTTTGTGTAAGGAAGATGATAAAACTTTTTAGGGTTTGATGCATGAAAGCTTGTTTTCTGTGATATTTTTGAATCGTGGAAGAGATTTTGAGTTTGTGTATGATGAAAAATGAATCTCGAATTTGAGAGAGAGGAGAGAATTTTTGTGGAGATTTTTCTGTGATTCCTCCAGAAATTGGAGAATGAATCAAATCAGTGTGGAATTTATGTTATATAGTTCTGTCATATTTGAAAAACGGTTAAAGCTTGAGTCAATCTTGGCCTTAGATTCTGAAAGTTTATTACAAGGGTTGGAGGATGAGGATCCATTAGAAATGAAGCTTGCTTGGGAAGTTTTGTTGAGCCGTAATTTGAACCTTTTACTGTGTTTTGGTAACAGGCCTTGAACAAATTTTGTTTGGGATTTTTCCCATCTGATATCTGTTATTATTTTGATTCCTTACTGCTGTGTGAATTCTTGGCTGAGCTGTGACATTGTCCTGTTACTGTGATAACCGTGATATTGTGACTTGCAATAACTTGCTTGAGGTGTGAAATGAAATTCATACCATTCATTTTTACTACAAACTGTGATGAAATTCTAAGTTAGTGAGTTGCTTCTTTTTGTACCTCCTTTTGTGAACCAAAAACCAATATTTTTTGTGTAATACAAGGCCTTGATATTGGGATTTGATTCAATGATTGAAAACAAATCCTAATTCTGATTCCTTTCACAACCCTAATGATGAACTTGAAAAGAAACTTCTTTGAAATTTTTTGTTTATGTTCAATTGCCTTTTTATGATTGCTAACCATGTCTCTTTCTTGTTTTTTGAACACAATGGTTTGATGGCAATAGCAAGGCAATGAATGCAAGGATTATGTGGCTGCCATAAAAGAGTTCTTGGAGAGAAATTTGAAGAAGTGAAGCATTTGAAATCAATAGAATCTCAATAGGAACTTAGAGTAGGTTTAGAACTATCTTTGATTTGTTTTGTAAAACTTGACATTGATCTTGTAATTGTAGTGGACTTTAGGAACAAAATATTCCACTTTTATTTTGTATCAATGTATCTTTTTGCAACAACCTGTAAACTTTGTAGAATTTTGAATGAATCAATGAATGTGCATCTTTTTAATCCTTTGCTCTTGTAATAAAGTCAACTTGTGACTTAAAGTATTTAAAATTGAATGTGTGCTTCAATGTAATGCCTTGTAAAGAACTTTTGGAGTGATAACTCATCCTTGAACTTGCAATTTCCTTTTGCCAGCGTCTTGTAAAAGTTGCATCTTGCATGAATGGAATAATTGAACTTTTTCAATATTTGATCTTGTAAAAAAAGTGACTTGCATTTGAAACATCTAAATAACTTCCTTTGTAGGTCTCATGAACTTTGTGGAATTTAATTGAAATTGATGGAGGGCATGAAACCCTTCTTGTCCTGATTGACAAAACAACCAATCCTCTAGCTTGAAGAAGACCATAAAGATAAGAATACATTGATCACATCTTAAATACATGAATGTATATGATGAAACATTAACCATAAACAACAAACAACTTCAGTCTATTCCAATTCTATTTTATTTATTTATCATTAATAAAGAAAATAAGGCAAAAGAAAAATAAAGTATGAGACGGAGTCGTTAGGTGTGTTTAGTTAGGTTTAATGAATGAGACTCTTCAACTTCACTCTTCATTAACTCTCAGACGCGGCGGCTACCTTCCTCATCACATCCGGTCTCTCAACAACGTCAAAGTCACAGCGCCGCCGCCATGGTTCACTCAGCCTTCTCTCTTCTTCATCATCTGCTTCGTCTTTTCACCTTTCTTTCATCGTGAATCAATCGTCTATCTCAATATGCTTTGGTTTCGATTCATCCTTCGTCGTCATGGCCGGCTTTGATCGCGAATCCTGAACCATGTTTCGCCCTCTCCGATTCGTCACGGTTTCAATTTCAGGCTTAAGAAATTCACGAAATCGATCGAAGGTGGTGAACGATTAAACCGTGGATTCACAAAAATGCGGAGTTTAAACACTACACAAATTCACAGAGTTCAAGAATCGTAGAGTTCTACGCTAGTACGATATGAAACAAGTGCAGATATGAGAGGAATTTAGAGTTCAGAGCTTACTTATCGAAGAAGCTCCGATGGCTTTTCAGGGGCAATGTAGACAATCACCAATTCTTCAGGTCTACTCTTCACTCTTCTCTGTTGATTAGAGTTTCAGAGGTTGAAACTCTAACAACATTGGTGATGATCATATATGTGAGGTTATGGATGAAGAAAACCAAAGAAAGAGTTGAGAGAAGAGTGGAGAGTAGAACTGAAGAATTGGTGAAAATGAATCGTGATCTGAAATTTGGAGGGAGCAAAGTATATATAGGGACTGAAGGTTGAGAATCAGTTACAAGAGAGGAGCTCATGGCCGTTAGATTTGAAGGAGTCAGTTATGAAATGAGGGTGTAGATCAAGTCGGTTATATTGTTAGTTTGAGGATTGATGAGCTGGCATAATTCTGTTATTGAGTTAGTTAGTGTAAGAGGTGTTAGTTAAAAAATTGTTAGCAAGGTTAATTGAAAAGAAATTAATAGGTTGAATATGTTAATGAAATCTGAATTGAAGTTAGATGTTAAAAGTATTATAACATTTCTGTTAGTAGTTAGTTAAAGGAAAGTTAGAATGAGTTGGCAAGTTAGTTCTGAGGCTAGGGCTATCGATAGTTAGTTACGTTTATTTTTTGTTATGAAATGTTAGATGTCATCAGGATTAGAAACTGAAGGTTAGATGGGTTATGATTTAATGTTATATGGACGTTAGCTAGGGGTTAATGAAACTGACAGTCGGTTGGAAGTGAAATGTTGGCATATGGTTTAAATGAATAGCTTGGTCTTTGTGAATTTTGCGTGACTTGGAGTTGGCATGGGTGAAGGGTTTTTTTTTTGGTTGGTTAAAGTACCAGCATGAGGGCAGTCTTGAGAACATGGTGTAACCGACGATAAACGGAAATAGGCCTTGGGAATCCATTTGAAATCACTTTTTTTGGTTTGTTCCTTTTGCAATTTTCTTTCTATGACATATTGTATCTTGTAGTGCAACTTTTAATATCTTGTAATGGAATTTGGCTTTGAAATGTAATGATCTTTTCTTTCAGATCAATTTGAATTTTGAAGCTTCCCACCACTATGCACTTATTTAAATTTCTAATCTTCTCCATGTCAAATCCGTAAACTCAAGTACGAATCACATGATGATAAGATGAAAGCCCAAAAACTGTAAGAATGAGTTTGGTCAACCTTAACTGAAAGTTAGAGCACTGTGTGAATTCTTTACATTCGAAATAGACCCACAACAACACCACTTTTACACCATAATATTGCATAAGATTCGATAAGATAACTTTATCCCAATTAGTCATATGAACTTAACCCTTAATTAAAGATAAAAATCCTTGAACATTAATGTTGAGAGATGAGCTGCATCATGATTATATTCATACCAATCCCAAAAATTCCACCATCTGGTAACATCAGCAGAGGGACATGAGGGACATGATCAACGAAAACCCTTATGTTGACAACAAACCCTTATGATGTAGAAACCTTAATCCACATAAAAGTACTAACTTGCTAGGTACATCACATCTTGCACAAAACTTGTAACTCAAGCCACGAATGAGATCCTTTGAATGACGGTCTTCACTAATGAACAAAACTCCATAAGGAAATCCTCTCGATTAATTCATGAATAGGGAAATAAACCCTAGCTCAAATGACGATTGTAGGCGCCAAGAGATGATCTTCAAGAACCGCATATGAATACCCATGAATGAAGATAAGAGTCTCCTAATTCTTCAAGATCCTTGATTCCATACTAAATTTATTGGTTAATGATGCATTCAATGTTAGATGACCTAATGGAGGGTAATGCATATGAGAAAAATAACGCGCACAAGCCAGATGATTTTATTAAAAGGGTAGGACAAATTTGGGGTATGGCAGCTGCCCCTATTTAATCGTCTTAAACTTGAAAGTGAGATTGGCTCTAGCCTTTCGAGCATTCAAGATAGAAGGAGCTTAAATACAAAGACACGAATTTTGTCCTGCATAGAAGGTGGTATGAGTATTTATTATTTTTGTGATATCTACGGGGGAAATAATTTTTTTTGTTTTCTTGGTGAAAGGGTCTGTGATGAATGAGTGTGTAACATGGTGATAGTGCTAATACAAGATACTTTTTTGTAGATAGGTAGAATTGGTCAACACGGACGAATGTTGGGGATTAACACGGACGAGTGTTGGAGAAAGGATAACACGGGCGAGTGTTAGACATATTAACACAGACGATGTTGAAAGAAGAACTCTACTGTGGATTGGTAAAAGATCAACATGGACGAGTGTTTATGTCAACACAGACAAGTATCGAGAGAAGATACAGACGAGTATCAAGGAATGATTAACATAGACGAGTGTAAAGATCAATACAGACGAGTATCAAAAGAAGATAAAGACGAGTGTCAAAGAAAGTTTTAACCTGGACGAGTGTTTAGATCAATACGGACGAGTATCGAAAGAAGATACAGACAAATATCAAAGAAAGGTTTAACACAGACGAGTGTTTAGATCAATACGGATATTGAACATGGATTTTGGATATGAACCTTTAGACTAAGCTTGATTTTTTTTTTGCTTAGCATATGGTTTAATTGAATACTTGGTCTTTGTGAATTTTGCGTGACTTTGAGTTGGCATGGGTGAAGGGGTTTTTTGTGTTGGTTAAAGTACCAGCATGAAGGCATTCTTGAGAACATGGTGTAGCCGACGATCAACGGAAATAGGCCTTGGGAATCCATTTGACTTTGGTCAATACAATCACTTTTGGTTTTTTCCTTTTGAAATTTTCTTTGTATGACATATTGTATCTTGTAGTGCAACTTTTAATATCTTGAATGAAATTTGGCTTTGAGAATGTAATGATCTTTTCTTTCAGATCAATTTGAATTTTGAAGCTTCCCACCACTATGCACTTATTTAAATTTCTAATCTTCTCCACGTCAAATTCGTAAACTCGGGTACGAATCACATGATGATAAGATGAAAGCCCAAAAGCTGTAAGAATGACTTTGGTCAACCTTGACTGAAAGTTAGAGCTCTGCGTGAATTCTTTACATTCGAAATAGACCCACAACAACACCACTTTTACACCAAAATCTTACATAAGATTCGATAAGATGACTTGTATCCCAATTAGTCATATGAACTTAATCCTCAATTGAAGATAAAAATCCTTGAACTTTAATGTTGAGAGATGAGCTACACCATGATTATCTTTATACCAATCCCTAAAATTTCATCTGGTAACACCAGCAGAGGGACTTGATCAACGAGAACCCTTATGTTGACAACAGACCCTTATGATGTGGAAACCTTAATCCACATAAAAATCCTAGCTTGCTCGGTACATCACATCTTGCACAAAACTTATAACTCATGCCACAAATGAGATCCTTTGAATGACGGTCTTCACTAATGAACAAAACTCCATAAGAAAATCCTCTCGATTAATTCATGAATAGGGAAATAAATCCTAACTCAAATGACGATTGTAGGCACCAAGAGATGATCTTCAAGAACCACATATGAATACCCATGAATGAAGCTAAGAGTCTCATAATTCTTCAAGATCCTTGATCCCATACTAAATTTATTAGTTAACGATGCATGAAATGTTAGATAACCCAATAGAGGGTAATGCATATGAGAATAATAAGGTGCACAAGCCAAATAATTTTATTAAAAGGGTTGGGAAAATTCGGGGTATGACAACATCTTCCCTTAAGGATAAGGTTATTGCATATCCTTCAAATGCTGAGACTTTTTATCGTCAAATCAAAGAAGTTGAAGTTTCATCCTCGGATATTTTGAGGAAAGAAGAATGATCGTCTGGTTGTCAACCAATTGGTTCAGACGCTAAAGAGAAGGAGGAGACTGCTGCTGAAACTACTTTAGATCATGCTAATGTAACTAGTATCAAAGATATGTTTCAGCATCCTGTCTGAGAACAATCTAGATTCTTCCACTCCCCTCAATCACATCTCACCAACTCCATCTCAATCATCTGAACATACTCTGTCAGAAAATGTCATGACTTTATATGATTCAAATTCCCAAACCATTGCTCAAGTTCTGGATACTTTCAAAGCATCATTTGCTTTAGACAATCTATCTAGATGTTTAAATGGTGATTTTATCATATAATATGAACTACCCCCATCCTCAGAACAACATGACCGGTCCTAATCAGATCATAGATCCTATCCCAAAAAATCATGGCAATCCGTAATAACCTAACACATCTTCGATCAACTTTAAATCAACCTCACAATCCAGCTCTGATTCTTCTCAATCAAAGCTTTCACCCTGTCACCAAGCTATTACGTCTAAACATGTACCACAACTTCATCTTATTGAATCTCAATATAAATATCTACCATCGTCTGAACTTCATATTAAAGTTGAGCAAGACATCCAAGCCAAAATCCTATCAAAAATTATCCCAAAATTGTTTGTTCAAACTCACCATAAAACTAAATTTGAATAACCTAACCTTGAACAAGCTCATCCTGCACTCGAACCTCTGCCTAAACCTTATCAAGATATTTGTTCAGCAGGAACCGAATCTGGAATTATGACAATATGTTAACCCACATTTTGTGAGTTAATACATGCCTTTAGATTTGATTAATTAGTCTTTTTATTTGCTTAATAGTTGTAAATTTATGCATTTTAGTTGTTTTTAATAGTTTATCTTGGAGCACAATAGGTGCTCCCTTTTTTATTATTAATGTGTGTTTTTGTAAGTAAAGGTTAGCAAAGTCAAACTGAGGCAAGACTGCAGTGGTCT